ATATATTTTTACATAAATTCAAAATTTAATTTTTTTATAAACTTTTTTATATTAATATTTATATAAATATATATATAATCATTTAAATATTTAAATATATATATATATATATAATTTTTATATTAAATCTATATAATAGTTTATTGTTTTAAAAATATATGATTATTTTATTTTAATTATTTTATTAGTTTTATTTTTATTACTTCTTTAAAATGTAAATAAAATATAATTTTATTTAAACCAAAATATATGCTCTATAATTATTTTTAAATGTTTATAGTAAAAACTTTTATTTAATAATTTTATTTAGATATTTTGTTTTTAAAATGTTTATTTTTTAGTATCCTCATAATAATTTAACATTTTCAATTTGGAAAGTTAATTAAAATTATTAGAAAATGAAAAATAGTTATAAAATTATATTTTGTTAGCGAAAAAATAACTTAATATTTTTTAATGCAACAAAAATTTTTAAAAAATTCTAATTTTAATTAAGTTTATTTTTTTATATAAAAAATTGTTTTCTCTTTTTTTTTTTTTTAAAAAAAAAAATTAATTTAAATTTAATTGTATTTTATTTTATTTCAAAAATATATATATATATATTTATAAAAATAAAATAAAATATGGGACAGAATCAATCAGGAAATCCTTAATAAAATATAGAAGATAAAGATTAAATAAAATATTATTAAGATAATATAAATCGTTATAATCCGCCTGATATATATTAAGAAAACAAAGATATAAATCAAAACATTAAATTCCAAAACTAAAATTTAAATTAAAACGATTAAAATTAAAATTTAAATGAATAATAAGAATATATGTGTTTTTAGGGATTTCCTATTGCCGATAAATAATTTATTAGTTATCCTTAATTTTCATTAAATGCTATGACTACTGAAAGACTATATCCTCCTGATTGCGAGAAGAATATATATTAGGAATTAAATGTAGATCCTACTGCTTATGAGAATATATCTAAATAAGTAATAAAGACAAACGAAGAATTAGAAAATAGAATTCAAAATTAAAAAAATAAACAATTGTTGAATAATTAGGTAGAATTGCTTATTTAGAAGAAAGAATTGAACTTTTAAATAAAGAAATGAATAATATTAAATTTCATAGAAGTTATAAAGGATAAAAAGTCCAAAATTACAAGGAAGATTTTGATAAACTAGTTATTGAAACAAGTAAAAAAAATACTGAAAATATTATATATTTATTTACACGCATTAATTTTTTAAATATGTTAATTACATTCTTATATTTTTATTTTTATTTTAAGTGACTTATGATATGCAAATCTCTTAATTTGAAGGGTAAACAAAATATAAAGAATTTTAAAGAATGAGTGATGAATTTGATAATTTTGAAAGGCTTATTCATGAGAAAAATAAATAAATTTAAGAGCAAAATGAATAAATAAATTATTGGAAATCGAGAGCTTGTCTATAAGATAAGTCTATTGTTATTATTAATAATTTAAAGTCTATGGGAGAGTAATTAACGGATGAAAATAAAAAATTAAAAAAAGTACTTTTTAGTCATTAAGATTATTCTAATATAAGAGCTCTATATGAAGAAAGTTAAGGGTCTGTTAAATAAATTTAGAATATGTTTAGTATTGTTGATTAACTTTTGGGAGAATATTATTAATATAAAAGTTACGATGGTCTATATAAAACAAAATAAATTAATTGATATATTTTTTTTTTTTTGTATATGAATTATATTTTATATTTTATTATAAAAATAGCAGAAAAAATTTAATTCTTATTTTTTTATTTATTAATTTTTTTTTTATGAAATATATAATGTATTTTTTAAAGTTAAAAAAATAAAAAAAAGAGGTTTGTTTTGTAGCAAATAAAATTTTTAATTTATTATAAATAAAAATTATTATATTTAAAGAAATATATATTTAAAACAATTAAAAAAAATTAAATAATTATCTTTTAAGATTCTTTATATAATTATATAATAATTTTTTTTTTTTTAATTTTTTAATTTTTTTTTTTAATATTTTTCACATAAAAAAATAATACTTTTAAATATAAAAAAAAATAAACACAAAAAAATGAATAATAATTAATAAGACGAATAATGTAGAGGCTATAATGATTTAAAATTATTAATGGATGGAATACTTGATGGCAAATAATTTATATATACTTTATTTATTTTATTATAAACAATTAAAATAATTAAAAAAATTTAAATAGATGATATAACTTAATTAACAAATGATAATTAATCAGCACATCCTTAAGCTATGTACTATGATAATAATCAACCATAACTATCATTCGAAAGAAATTATTTTCAGTATCTAAATTAGCAAATAAGTTTTATTAAATAGGATAGTTAAAATAAAAAAATAGATTCAAGTTATAATGATATAACTTAGCTTGTAGACAATATGAATTTTAATAAAAATTAAAAAGATAATACAAACGAAAATCATATATATAATGAATTTATTTATTAAGATTAAATTTAATAGAATAGAAATATGTAAATATAAATTTAATTTTTATAAAAAGTATAATATAGGATATATATAATATATATAAATATATATATAAATATATATTATTAATTATTTCTAATAAATATTTAATTTATCAATTTATTCTATATTTAAATAAAATATAAACATATATATATAATATTTTTATAATTTTATTTAAAAAAGATTATAATAATTTAATGATAATAACCAAAAAATATTCAAACCTATTGATTTTGATGAATATAATAAAATGTAAAATTAATATAATTTTAATAATGAATATATGTTTATTTAAAAATTTAATAATAATATTAATATAAATAATAATAATACTTAATATATTAATGAAAATGAAAATTTTCTTTAATTTAATCAAATATTTAATGATTTAATATTTGCCTGTAAAGATCAAAACAGTTCTAGAATTATTCAAAAATAGTTTGAAGTCGCACCTGTTCAACTTAAAAATGCTATTTTTAAAAAAATTTATCACGAAACATTTGAATTAATGAAAGATCAATTCGGAAACTATGTCATATAAAAACTTTTTGAAAAAGGTAATATATATTTATATACATATAAAATATATTTATTTATAATTTTTTTTCTATTTATATTTAATTTTATAAATATAAATATTTTTTTAGGTCTTCCAGAACATAAAAAATAATTATTTTAAGTCTTAATAGAAAATACTTAAGACTTATGTTTACATACTTATGGATGTAGAGTTATTTAAAAAGCAATAGAAGAATTATAAGAATTTCCTTTATTATAAGAATAAATTATAGATGAATTAAGTAATAATATAATGGATTATATATAAGATTAACATGGAAATCATGTTATTTAAAAATTATTTGAATGTGTAGATTGTTCTAAGCTTTAGGTTATTATTGATGATATTATTTAAAATGTAATTTATTTATACTAAGTTTTAATTTATTTTATTTTTAATTTTATGATAAAAAAGATTTAAACTTTAGCATTTCATCCTTATGGTTGTAGAGTTATTTAAAGAATTTTAGAATTTTGTTAACCTTAATAAGTATATATATATATATTTTATTTTCAATAAAAATTAAAAATTGCATTTAATATATCATATATAGATATATATATATCATATATAGATATAGATATATATATATATATATATATATATATATATATATATATATATATTTTTTAATTAATAGACGAAATAAATATATTAGAAATTAAAGGAAAATTTAATTCTTTTGTGTAAATGTTAATATGGAAATTATATAATATAATATATAATTGAAAATGGATTAGAAGAAGATAAGTAATATTTATTATAAGTAGTAAAAAAAAACTTTGTATCACTTTCTTTAAATAAATTTGCTTCTAATGTAACAGAGAAGTCTATTCTTTATTCTAATGATGAATTTAAATATGGAGTGCTTGAAAATTTATTAAGATTAAATTAAAATAATGAGTAAAATATATGAAATATAATTATTATTTTAAATACATAATGTTTATTATAAAGAAGTGGAATGGTAAAATTAACATAGAATGCTTATGGAAATTATGTAGTATAAAGATTTTACGAAAAATCTAATTTTGACATAAAAATGAAAATTTGTATGTATTTATTTTAGAGTAAAGATATTTATAATGAGATTAATTCTAATAATTATGGTTAAATATATAAATATTTTTATTTATTTTATATTTTTCTTATAATTAAAGGAAAACATGTTCTAACTTAAATAGAAAAAAATAGGGTCGATATACATAAAAACATAACTAATAATAATAATAATTAAAATAATAGTAATTTCTAATAAAATTATTAAGGAAAAAATTAATTTTAAAATTGCTTTTTTAAAAATAAAGTAACAATTAAAAAGAGAAATAATTATTGTAAATAATGAAAATAAAGTATTTCTTTTGATTTATTTTAATATTTTTAAATTTTTGTTTCTAAAAATACATTTTCTATGTTAATAAAAATAAATTTGTCTATAGAGAAATTTATGTACATAAATAATATTTTATATGTAAATTTAATTTTTAATTTTGAAATTTCGTATTATTAAATAATTTATGAAAATATATATTTATCTAAATAAATAAAAATAAATCAAAAACAGCATTATGAAATTCAAAAAAATAAATAAAATAAAAATATCTTAATTAATTTATTTATATTATTAAATAATAAAATAAATTAATATCTAATATATATACAATATTCTTATAAAAATGTCAAATTAATGTGAAAAATCCTATTGTTCCGACAATTGCTGCTGCACCAATCATAATTTTTACTTTCATAGTTTTCCAATAAGTTTCTCTTCTTAATTAACAAGCCTTTAAAATAATAAAATTTATATTTATATAATAATTTTAATATAATTTTTATTTTATATTATAATCATTATTAAATATAATTATTTTATATTATTTATATCTATATAGAAAATTTTATTATATTATTTTAAAGTTATTAAAAATAAAAAATATTAAAAAAAAGATTATAAAAAAATATATATATAATTTAATATATATTTATAAATAAATTATATTTGAAATATAATTTTATATATATATATATAACTTATTATTTAATATTTGTAGCTGTAATATTCATTTACGAAGTTGTTCTTACAAGTAATTCAATTCTATTTTATCTGTCAATTAGTTTGTCTATTTAAATGCATGTATAAAAATAAGAATAAAAAAATAACATATATATATTTATAAATATATATATATATATATATATATATATATATATATATTATATATATTACGTAAATTTTTATAATATAAATTATTACCTACATTTTCTACTATTATGCTTTTTATTTCATTTACACTATTCTTTAATTTTGAAATTTTATCATTTTCTAAATCAGAACTATACTAATTCATTAATTTTTTAATTATATCCGCAAATTAATTATTTAATGAATAATTTATTGCCACAGTCCTTTAATCATAAGTAAATGTATCACAAAATTTTTCTTATAATTCATATAAAAATCCGAATGCATTTCTTTTAGAAAAAGTACTTTCTGTTAAACACATATAGGTAAAATTATTCTCGTTTATATAATGGAAATAGTATTTATCATTATATGCTATAGTCATTTTAGTATCTTTTTGAATATTTTTGACTAAATCTCTAGAAATTTGTGGAAAAGAACCGGAAGCTGTTGTGTATTCTATTAAAGTTGTATCTTTTCCTCTTGCTATAATTGCATATATTATAGACATTTTTTTATTTTTATTTTTTATTATTTTTTTAAAAAAAAAATAGTTTTTTTGTTTTTTTTTATAAAAAAATAAATAAATAATTATTGATTTTCACTCTTTATTTTTTTCTTCTATTTCTTTATTTTATTATTATTAATAAAGTTCCTCAAAATGTTATATATTTTCTTCTATATCTTAATCTTAAAATTTATTTTAATTATCATCTTATTCTATTTATACACTAATACCTACTGCCTATTCTGAATTTTAATAATTTATGTGTTAAAAATTAACTAAATTATTTTTTAATCTATTTCCTTTTCCAAATTGATCTTCAGATTCTCTTGCAGTTTATTTTTTATCACTTTCAGTTTCAAGAATAACGTTTTTAAGGTCGATCTAATATTTTAAAGCAACTACAGGGGATAAACAAGAAACTGCAGGTAAAAGCATTATTTATTATTAATAATATTGTAAAGGACTTTATAATTACTATTATTATTAGTATTATTATTATTATTATTATTATTATTATTATTATTATTATTATTATTATTATAATTAAATTTAATTCAAATAAAACATATTATCTTTATTCAATTATTACGAAAAATAATTATAATCTGAATTATTATGTTATGAATTATTATAGTCTTCTTCCTTTATAGTCGATTATGTTGCCTTTAAATTTTTTATTTGAGAATTGCTTCTATTTTTATCGTACATTTATTATAATTAAGAAGTTCCTTTTTCTGCATATTATTCATCATTTTTTTAATAATTCTGTTCTTACATTTATATTTTTTGCTGAGAATAAATCTGCTGTTATTATTAAATTTTTTTCAAAAATCCAAACACTATACTAATTGAAAAGAAAAATAATGATATTGACACTCCTATACCAACGTAAAAAGCATAAAAATATGTACTTTTAGCCCCATATCTAACATTAATATTGATATTTTATTAATATAAGCATGAGTTATGTAATTAATAATACATTACTTATTTTTGTATTTAATTATTTTATTAATTATCTTAATTATATTAGTTACAATCGTTACTTAGGTATTCTATTGAAAATAAAGATTTATTTTATAATTTTAGCGCATTACATTATATTTACAATTTATGTTATTGTATACTGAAAATATTTATTTAGTTTTCTTATTAAATAAATAAGTAATCATTTGAAATTTTATGAAAAAAAAAAAAATTTTTTTTTAATTTTAAAGAATAGAAATTACTTTCGAGATTATTTTGGTAATATTTTGATATTTTTAATTTTATAATTTATATTATATTTTAATATGCTAAATATAGATATTTTTAATCTATTTAAATGCTATTTATTGTATTATTATTATTATGTTCTTATTTAATTATAGTAAAACATTTATTTTATTTTTCTTCTGTATTATCGAATGATTATAAATAGTTTAGTTCATATTCTATATATCCATCTTTTATTATTATTATAAGAGTTGTTTCATATACTTTAAATTTTTGGATATTTTCTCTTTTTATTTAACAGGTAAAATCAATTTATTTAAGTGCAAGAATATATATGTATATCGTATCATTATTTAAAATATATATTTTGTCTTTAAAACATTCTATTTATTTAATATCTTGGTCTTACCATTTTAAAAGATCGCTTTATTTTAAAGAAATAGTTTTGCTTTCTTCTAATTATATTATTTAATAGAGGACTATTCCATCTTATTTTCCAAAGTTAATTACTAAATAATTTTATATGGTATTTATTTCTAATAAAGTTTCGTATTATTTAATTTCAAAAGCCTTTTTATCTGATATTAAATATATTCTGTTCCCTAATTAAAATATTAGTTGATCTTAATTTTCTAATTAATATAAAGTTATTTAAGAGTCATATTCCGTTTTGTTTATTTCTGGTATACTTTCAAATATTTTTTCAGTATCCATTATTTACAATAATTATTTTTCTAAATCAAATATATAAGTATATAACTCAAAATTATTTCCTATATACTAGTATATTTAATAGTTTTTATCGCCTATTTATTTAGTACATGTCAATATGTTACTTTTCGGTTTTATTTTTGTTTCAAAAGATTAAATTTTTTAAATCTAAGCTCCTATTTAGTGTACTTAGCAGGTGTTTTTATATAATTAATTATGAGGTTATTGAAAGTCGTATGAATAATTTTTTATTACTTCGGTATAATTGTTGAAATTTACAAAATAATAATCATATATTTAATCTAGATAGTAAGAAAATATATATTCTTCTTTATTACTTTGTTGCTAAAATTCTATGTTTAAGTTAGAGAGTTTTTTTAATTCGATTGTTATTATGTATTTAATTAATAATATATTAATTATATGCAATTGTTTCATGTTTTTTTGTTTTTTTATTTAAAATAAATAAATAATTATAAATGTATTTTTTATTATTTAATTAAAATAAAGTTAAATGATAATTTATTAATTTTTAAATAAATATTTGAATTTAATAATATATGTTTTAATTTAATATATATATATATTTATAGCTTAAACTTTAAAAATAAAAATTTAATAATTTTTATTTTATTAAATATTTTTAAAAATTAATTTATATTTGAATTTAAAATTTTATTATAAAAAAAAAACATTTTAAATAATTTTAATTAATTTTATTAAAAAAATTATATAATTATATCTCCAAAAAAAAAAATATAATAAATATATATATATATATATATTATAAAAAGATAAATAAATTAATTTTATTTATAAATATATCATTTAAATATATATAAAATATATTTTTATAAAAAAAAAAAATGGATGGACTAAATTCTGAATTAATCAAATAATGCTAAATGTGTAACAGTTTTACAGTAAGCCATGATCGTAAAAAAGGTAATGTTAAATGTTTTCGTTGTGGTTACATTGTAGAGGATCATTTCTAATCCTACGAATAAGAAGTTAATAATTATGATAATGATCCTACTCAAATAAATAATATGCGAGGTTTAGTACCTGATGGAAGAGAAGAAGATATAAAATTAGGTGATAGGCCTTTAAATAATTAAGGTTTATAGAAAAATAAAACAGACGAAAAAGTCATAAAAATAAAAGATTAATGAAAAGCTGGTGTGAGAAATTATATTTGGACAAAAAAGACATATGTTTGGTTGAGAAATATTTCTGTATACTAACATAGAATATATAAAAATAAACTGAATATTAAATTAAGTCTAGTGCACTTTTAGCGGTTTTTATTGCCTCTAAAATTTTGAAGTTGGATGAAGAAGTATTTAATTTGGAAAATTTGTGTAATGTAGCGACTTTAAATTAGGACAAAGTGGAAGATTAATAAAAATATATATGCTCAACTAATGATGAAATAAAAGAAATTTTATAGCCACCTAAAAATATACTTGATTATGCCGAATAATACGCAAGTTAAGCTAAAGGATTGTCTGACTAAGATATTGAAGGGTTTATGGCTTTGTGTAAAATTCTCTAAACATTGGGGGTTTAAGATGGTGAGAAACATAAAACTATTGTCTGTGCGGCACTTTATTGTGTTATTTAGTTAAGTAATTCTTTTGAGGCATATAGTTAGAAATTTAGAAATGGGGAATATGCGAGTATTTCACTTGTTTAGAGTATTACAGAATAATAGTCGATGGTGGCTGTGGAAAAGTTTTATGAAAAAAAATTATTGCCAGAAAGAACGGCTATATTTGAAAAATTAAAAAGTTAAGTTAAAGTTGATTGGAAAAGTTATTAAGTTTTAAAAAGAAAATAAGGAATATGATATATATATATATTTTTTTGTATTATATAATTTAGATTTTTATTTTTATTTTTTTTAAAAAAAATTGTGTTTTGTTTTTAAATATATTTTTTTAATCTCCTTTTATATATTTGAAATTCTTTATATTATTATTTGAATAATTGTTTTTTATTTTTACAAATTTTCTTATTAATATTTTTTTAATTATGTATTTGATTATAGACTTTTTTTAATATTTAATTTAAAATTATTTAAGAAGAAAGTATTTAAAGGAAAAAAAAACAAATTAAACCTTATATGAATTTATAAATAAAAAAATCTATATAAAATAAGTAAATGTTAAGAATAGAATATTAATATAAGTTTAGTTTAGTTAATATATATATTACAAAATTAATAATTTTACATAAATAGATTTGCTTTAATTATGAATTAATATAATTCTAAAAATTATTAATTTCTTTAGTTGTTATTCTTTAAAATATCTTTTATATATGAATAAAAATTAATATATTAATTTTTCAACTTTAAATTATTATAAATTTTATATTATTAATTGAATATGTATATATTAATTAGTATAAATAGATTTTTTATAAAAACTAATTAATTTATAATAAAAATACTTAATAAATTATATCCTTTTTATATATTTTATAAATAAATTAATACAAAGAAATTTGTAAGTATATAATAATAGCGTCTGCTAATGTTTTTTAATAATAAATATTAAAATCCTTTTAATATTTAATTCGAAACTATTTAAAATATAATATATTAATTTTTATATAATTTATTTAATATTAGATTAATATAAAGAATCAAAAATTTAAATTAAATTGAAAGATGCGTATCTTTTATAATGTAAATAAGTTTTTTAAATATTTATATTAAATACAATTATAATTTTAATTAATAATTTTATTAATAAGTTACTAAAGAAAATCAAAAATTTATTTAAAAAAATTCATATTATATGTATTAATATTTCTAAGTATTTATATTTATTTCAATAAAAATTAATAATAATATATATCTAAATATTATTTAATTAATAAAAATATTTTAAAAATATTTAAATTTATTTTTTTTTTTTTTTTTAAATATAATTTTTATCTTTTGCTATTATAATAAAAAAATGAAATAAAATTTAAACAATTTTAAAATATAATATAAGATAATAAAAAAGTTTAAATATAATGAAATTGAACTAAGAATAAATAATAAATAAATATATATATATATATATATATATATATATATATATATAAAAATTTATATATATTTATATACATTTACATATAATTATTAATATATTTATTTTTATTAATGTTTTTATTATTATTATTATATCATTTATATTTTTTATTGAAAAATTTATAATAAACAAATTTTAATTTCAATTTTAATATTTTTATTTTTTTTATTTTCAATTTTCAATTTCAACATCATATTATATGTATTTTTAAAATTCTTTATTTTTTTTTTATTTTATTACTACAAAATCCCATATTTCTTTATAAGCTTGATTATTTTGATTCGATTTTATTTCTATATTTACTTAAAATATTTATTCAGGTTACATTTATTCTAGCTTTATAAGATAACCAATATTAATTCCTTAAATACATTTAAGAAATAGATTTCTAGGCCATTTTACACTACCCTGATTCTTTATCTAAAAATTTAAATTATAAATAGATCCTTGCTTTAAAGTAATTTTATTTGGAGGAGAATTTAATATTAAAGCATTAAATATTAATCTATTTTAATAGTAATTATCTTTTATATATTAATGTAATTCTTTTTCAATTGTTATTTCTATAAATTTAACTAATCTCTGTTTTAATTATTAATTATCATTTTATTACTAAAAATTTTAATAAACATTTTATTCTTTAAATAATTAAATATAATTCATTTTTATTATTTTTTTTTGAAAAAATTGTATAAAATTTAAATCAATAAAAATATATAAAAAATCAAATAACAAAAATTAAATAATTATTAAATTATATATATATGTATAATTAGAATTACATTTTTAAAATATAATTCATATTAATTTAAATAAAAAACTAGCTATTATTAGTATAATTAAAAAATGACCTGCTTATATATATATATATATATATATATATATATATATATATATATATATATATATATATATATTTATATATTTATAATTATATATATTAAATATTTTTTAATTAAATATTTTAACTATCTTTTTATAATATTATTAATAAGGCATTATTATGGTTTTCTTTTATATTGGAATTATATTACACAATTTTTTTTATTTAAATATAAATAAAGTGTATATATTTATTTTAAATATTCACTCTAAAAATCATTATGATTCTGCTTTATTTTCTTTGACAGTTCTTATTTTTTGCTTCATTTTTAATTTTTTTAAATGTAATTCGATTTTATTAAACTCATTTGTGATTATATAATTTATATTAATAACATTATTATTATTTTTCTATTTCTTTTAATTTTTGAAAATATTAATGAATTTTATCAAATGGTGCATTAGATGTTGAATATTTAAAGGACATTTTAATTTTTTTTTTAAACGACTTATTTCGAGTAATTTTTTGAAAAAATATTATTAATTTTTTTAATTTAAATTTGAATTATAAAATTTCAAAGATGTTATATTAAACTATATTTTAATTCTTTTTTTTTATTACTAGACATTTATTTTTTTTTTTGATTGTTTTAAATATTCATCTGATTTTTTTTATTTTTTTTAATTATTATGAAAGATTTATAAAAAACTTTATATAATTAATTTATTAAAATTTTTGTTAAAATAAATTTATTTTATATTTTAGCAAAAAAAATAAATAAATATTATATTTTTATAAAATAAAAAAAAATTAAGAATTATAATTTTTTTTCAGAATTTAAAAAATAATTTATATAGAGAAAAAACACCCAAAAAAGAGCAAAAACCCCAAAAACTAAAATATGAAAAATGCTTATCTGGTGTTAAATATGGTTTTTAAAAATTCTAAGGAGAACCGCAAACTGGGTATATATTTTCATTATTAATATCAGCATTTTTTTCATTAATAAATTTTTCTAAATATGCTTTTTAGTTTATATTTTTTCCAAAAAACTCACTTAAAAATTTCAGGTTTATATACCCAATAAAATCACTGTTTTTTTATTCCAAATAATCGACATTTTCTGGTCTTTTTATTAATCCATTTATATATGTATTTTCCTCTTTATATTCTTTTTTTTCAAATTCTTCTTTCATTTCACTCGGAATCCAGCCCATATTGATAGCTAAACCTTCTTTTTCATTTTTTTTATTTATTAATGGTGCTACTATTATAAAACCTGTCCTTCCATTCATATGCCGGAAAATAAAAAATCGTTTTTTCCTAAAATACCTTCTATTTTTACATAATTATATTCCGAATTTTCTATATTTGAGTCTTTTTCCCATGGAAGGGATTCAAAAGTGATTTCTGGAGGTTCTTCATTTAAAAATTCTTTGTCTAATTTTGCCCATTTTTTTAATGAGTAATTATATCGATTCCATTGCCATCTACTGGCCGATATTGTGGTAAATGTTAGGCCTGTAAAAATTCCTATAAGAATATATTTTTTAGCTTTATGATGATTTGACATATATATATATATATATATTTTTATTTTAATATGTATATCTTTATATATATATATATTTTTTTTATTGATTTTTGTCTTATTAATATAAATATATTGAAAATAAATTTTATTAACGAAAAAATAAAATTTTATTAAATAAATGGATATAAGTAAAATAATAAGTTTGCACTAAACAAATAATACATATGGATTTGAATCATAGTGTATATCTTAATTTAGTTAAGCAATAGGTAGATTGCTTTATTTTTAAGAAAATCAAAAAAAGGAAGGAATCGCTGTCTTAATATCTAATAATCATATAATAACACCTATAATAAATGTTATATCTAAAAACAAGAATTTAAGTTAAAAAGACTCTTTTGTTTTTAAACTATTTATGGTCAATATATAGGTATTAAAGAACTTTATTTTGAAAAAAAACTCTTATAGGAAGTAAAAGATAATGATGATTAATATTGTTAATATGCGGTTATGTAGTTAGAAGATAAAATAAAGAATAATATTAATCATTCAGGCATTATTTATATAAAAAATTATAATGAAGTAACTTTGATAATTTCTTTAGATAAAAATTAACAAAACATTAATAACTATGAAGTTAATAATAATAAAATAATTTATTTCGAAAGTCCTTAAGAATATAAGAGTAAAAGTGATTAAATTGCTGTTTTTGTAAATGATTAATAATTA